GATTGCTGCTATGCTGAGAACTGTACATTTGGCCTTATGTTTATGATTGTGTGCTTATAATAACCCGGTATCATGAATTTCTATTTTGCAGCATCCTGTTTTCTGGCCCTCTGCAGCTCAAACAAAAACATGTTTTCTGCCAATGGCGAGCGTTATCCGACTGCCATGCCGAAGCGTTTTGATGAACATGTTCCGTGTAGTCCGAATGCAAGTTCTTGGACTCGTATCGCTGTAATCGGTTATTGGGTAGGGCCTGATGTTGATGATGGTTGGGGATTTGTAGAAGCTTCTATATGTAGACCGGAATAGTGGATTCGTCACAAACTTTGCATGAATGGTTTTTGTATGCAATGGTAAAACGATACATGTTCTCCATTATTAGTTGATGAATATGGTGATTTTTCCAAATTTGTTCATCATTCCCAGGGCGGTCACAGTTCAAGGAAACTATGTGTATGCCGATAGTCCCTAACTGCATATTTCTTCTTGTTCAAGTATCTTTTGAAAAACGCATAAATTCTTGAAATTTTTGAACTTAAAGTATCCTTTAATTAATTAAGTTGAATGATAATAATAATAATAATAACAACAACAACAACACTAAGGGGGTGTTCGTTTCCTTGTAATTGGTTTTTCGGAAAATGTTTCTTCATTTTTCTATGTTTGGTTAGCGAAAAACAGATAGTCAATATAATTAATTTTCCTGGTCAACTGAATTTCCTTTGTATTTTTTGGAAAATGACTTACCATCTGATTTTTCGTAAATCGTTTTACGAACTTTTCATTTTAAAACATAAACACTCAAAACATTATTATTTTATATATGTAATATTAATATATTATTTTAATACCATTTTAATAAAAATATTAATTATTAAATTATATTTATTGAAAATGTTAATAATATAGTATTATATTTTATTGTTATAGTTATATTATATAATGTATAATATTTTTTTTAATAATATATAAAAATTATTAATAAAATTAATATTATTTAATTGTTGAATATTTAATATACTCTTTAAATATAATAATATATTAATTTAATATTAATTTTTTTAATATTTTAATAATATTATTATTTGAATAAATAATAATATATTATTTTCATTTTAATAATTAATTAATATAATTTCATATTTTTCATAAAATATAATAGTAGTAATATTTTTATTTATAAAATTATAGATATAATATTTAATAATAATATTGACATAAATAATATAAAGTATTTTAATATTTAAAAATATTATTATTTTTTAATAAATAATATTATTCATTTTATTTGATATTTATAATAAAAAAACTTTTAAAAAATTTACAAAATGAATTACACAACAACATCCAAATACCATAAAATATTTTCCAGGAAATATAATTCATTTTACGAAACTCATTTTACGGAATCTGTTTCCGTGAAACAAATGGGCCCTAATATTTTTGTTGTAATCGAATATGATAAAACAATATTGATAAAGAAAATTAATATATCACAATTGACATTATCATAAAAACTAAAATAAAAAAATCTTATTTCTACGAAATTGAGTTCTACAAAGTGGTGGCTGTCAATAACGCATGAGATTTTCCATACTAATTGCTTGTTAATAGGATCATCATCGCCATTATTTTCACTATTGTCGATAGTATCTTTTACGTCGTTGGTATCAATATGTGTTGATCAGGCCTCAGGCCTACTGACTCATTTTCACATCCCATTCGTACGATAATTGATGGCTTGTGAAGAATAATGATTACGAAGGTATTAGTCAACAATCACACCATTGATTACAAAATTCGAAAATCCATAATATGTCATATGTGAATATGACGTTGTCGGTTAGATTGATTGTCCTGATAGAGGAGCATCACTTGTTAACAATGACGTATATGAAACAAATATCAAGAATGATAGTATTAGTAGATAAATAACTTTGTGTTGAACTTCAAAGTGGTGAAATCATATATGGTAGATAATCCATCCGATTAAATGTTGGTGGCATCGATAGTATAACAAATATGTGCTCAATTGATGATGTGGCATGCGTTACATCATCCAAATTAATGATGTGATATGTGTTACACTATTAAAAGTAATAACGTAATATATCTGATATCAACAGTTAGATATAGAAAAAAATGCCACGTCAGTAATATAGATTGACCGTTAGTTAATTAATAGTGAGAATACCAAAATTACCCCCTAGTATTTATCAAAATGATCATTTTGACCCTTATTCTTTTGTATTTTTGAAATATTTTGACGCCCAACGTTTCACTTTGAGGCAAAAAGCTCCCTTTATAAATGAAAATCATTAGTTAACATACCAATAGGAACCTTTTAACCTAAAATGAAACGTTGATAGATAAAATGCAAAAAAAAAAGAAAGAAGTGACAAAGTGATTATTCTGAAAAATTTTAGGGCATTTTTAATAGAAAATAAAATTTTGGGGAACAAAATGCTCTAAACAATAGAATAGTGGACAAATGACTATTTTGATAAACTTTAAGGGTTAATTTTGACATTATACCTTTATTTTAATGGTTAAAACAATTAAATTAAATTAAAAAAACTTTGGGTTTATTTTCCTTTACCATTAAATCTACTCAATGGGTCCACGAATCTTTATACATTAAAAATATATTAATAAATCTTTTTTAACGATATTTATCTTTACTTGTTATGATAATGTTGTAATATAGAACCTATTAAGTGATCTCAGCGATAAAAGAAAATGTTATTCTTTCAAATGAATTTGAATTCGAACAGTTGCATCTGCAAAGTGTACATGTTATTAATATATTAAAGAAAATTTTGAATGGCTTGCACTCCACGAAACGATTTAACAGCAAAATATGGAAGGTTGACATTTAAATTTTGTTGATAGGAAAAATGAAATTGTAATGGTTTTAACGGTTCATCATTTTTGGATCTGATGAAAAGTTGTAAATCGTTTAGTGAAGAAGAAAGAAAGAATAGACGAGTTAAAGAAGATGATAAATAATCGAGAGAGATCCAGAGAAAGAATGTGTATCATCTATTTTTATTTAACTTTGCATGGTGATTTATATAAGTATTAGTGTCTGACCTAAAACGATGATGACTATTTATAGGTTGATAGTCTACTATATATAACCGTCATATAGTAGATTTAGCCGGTAGATCATGTGAACCTACCAGTAATCTTATCAATAGACTATAATTGGACGAAGGATATGAAATTTTAGAGACTTCAAGGAACTCCGAATACTCTAAAGAACTCTGAAAGTTTTGAGGTTCGATAGACATACGAATAATATTGAAGATATGACTTATAAAAGAAATTCGAAAGAGACACAAGTTTTACGTGAACATCAATTAAAAAGAAGAAAAATTAATGTGAAGATTTACGATCGGAAGTCGAATATGTTCAAGTATAATTATCTTTGATTTAGGGGAATTATGAATAGTTTATGTTTTGAATTTGTTTATGTACAATCTCATGACTTTGACATTCAACTTTATCCTCTAAGAATCTAGTTTCAATTAGGGTAATTATTTGATCGAGTAAAGTTAAAATATTTCATTTTATTTTATCCAAAAATTTATGTCTATTGATAAGAGTATTTATAAATCAAATGATATCTAAAATTATAAAATATATTTATAATTTTATTTTTTAAATAATGTGTTTTGAGAAAAAAGTATTGATAATAGTATAAAGGAGTCAATGAATTGATGAGAAGAAATTATTTGTGAAAAGATTACAATGTAAACTAAATTGAATAAAATACAAAGTTAAGAGACTAAATTATAAAAAGTGTAAATTTGTTGTTAAAATAGGAACAACTTACATATATATTCTACGGTGTAAAAGGAGTATGTGATTCAATTTGGTCAAAAATGAACTTTAAGTGACAGAAGAATTAGGGGTGGGAAGAATTGGGGATGATTATTCGAGTTGATTTGAGTTAAAATTTGTTGAGTTAATCGAATTTACGAGTCATATTTTATCATTCAAACTTTATTTAGATTTTTTTGAGTTGAATCAAATCAATTTTTTAAATCAAATCGAGTTTGGTTCATCTCTAGTTTCAACTTTATTTGCAGTCAGATAGATAAAGATAAAAAGTTATCTTAGTTCAAACGTTCAAAGCTTAGAGAGATCGATCAACTAGCCATCGGTGAAAAAAATAAATGGCTTGTGTTACTAGGGTCTGTTTATTTCTTGGAAAATAGGTTCCTAAAAATAATTTTCGTAAAATGAATTGCATATTCTGGGAAACAAATTCTGAAAATCATTTTACGTGTTTGGATGATGTTATATAATCATTTTTCCACTGATTGATAATTTTTTTTAAAATTATTTATAATAAATATCGAATACAATAAATAACATTGTTAATTAGAAAATAGTTAAAATTATTATTTTTAAATAGTAAAATAATTTATTTAATATTATTTATTTCAATATTAATATTAAAATATTTTTTATGATTTTATAGAATAAAATACTAAGACTAATATATTTTATTAAAATAAAATTTTATCAATTATTTATTATAATAAGAATGTTATATTATTAATTATATTAATTACCTATTAAAATAAATTATTATTATAATATTAAATTATATTCTGGAAATTATTAATAAATATATTTTAAATATTTAATACTTTAATATTTTATGAATTAATAAATAAAGTTAATTTTATTAATAATTTATTATATATATTAAAGTAAAAAATAATATCATATATTTTTATTTTGAAGTGAAAATTTAAAAACGACTTACAAACAATTAAACCATAATTCATTTTCTATAAAATATAAAGGAAATTCTATTAACCAAAAAAATAAATTATATTGACTTTATGTTTTTCACCTACCAAACATTAAAAAATGAATAAAACGTTTTTCAAATAAACCAATTACATTGAAATAAACATACAAGCACCAGGTCCCTATTTATATAGTATTATACTTATATATATATATATATATATAGTAGAATACTATATAGACATATTCATCAATGGAGTTTGAGTTTCATCAGCTTGTCGAGATGGTTGACCATTTTGATCCGATTCTTCAATATCTTTATCTTCATAGCTGTTTGTTTGATTGTTTCGGCTAGCTATTACCCTCTCCCTTTCAGCTTCCCTATACTTATGCAAATACCTCACGATGGCCTCAGCATAGTTGTCGAGCCCGAGAGCACTCAACGCCCGACACACGTCGTCTCCGTTCATCGTCTTCCGATTCTCCTTCCGGCACTTGTCGGACGCCTCACTCGTCACGAAGCTTATGAACTCGGTCGCACACTCTTGCATTCTTTGTTTTGCCTCGGTTGAGAGCTTGGCACTTGGTGGCAGGATTTGTTTCATGATCCGACCCACGTTGGCTATTGGCAGCAATCGATTTTGTTCTTCACCCATTTTTAGTAACTTTTGATCCTAAGCTTACTCACGTAGCTCTTTATATTCCACAAACTTTCCTCTTATATTATATATAATATGTTTATGGTTAACGAGTTTTATTATATTGATCATTCACGTGATATGTATTTGATTATCATTGAACAGTTGATACATATTTTAAAAATATACGTTATTTTTTAATTTGAAATGTCTCGAGTTTGATATCAGTTGTCTCATCAAACTTTTATATATATATATACTTTAATACATTTATCTATGTGCATGCTTATGCATAGTAAAAATGAAATTTGGGTAAAGAATTTATAGGAATATTTCAATTATTGGTCCCCCTCCACCCCACTATCCCTATAAATTTCTGGCAACGTACCCTACCCTGATAATCTGGGTTTGTATAACCTTTTGTGGTCTCCAAATATACTCTCTTTAGCTTAAAATATTGTTTGTTGTAGTGAAAAATAAGTGGTGCATATTCATGCACGTCTGCATGTTTTGGAATCGACAGAACACAGTTTGAAGAGAACAGGGTTTTAGTGTTTGATTACCTCATTGTCACTCTATTTGTCTGCAAACTATAACATGGGGGCATAATCACCCATTTATAGAAGTACCATGTTTTGATGAATACTAAAAGTTTGTTGTTATTTGTGGTGTATAACATGTGACCAAGTGATTTAGGGTGGTCGGATTGATTGAAAACGGCGGTGGGTGGGTCAGTCGGTTGAAGTTCACCTTTTCTGATATGGATAAAGAGTCGTGTTTCGAAAGAGTCGAGAGATTTAAAAAAGAATATTTAAAAAAAAATTAGATAAAGGATACGATTTTTGAAGAGAGGAAATATAAAATATGATAAGATATATCTTAAATGGTATCATAGTTACCTGTTATTAAATTATATTTATGATTACGAAGACTTGTAGGGTTGAAATGATTAACCTTTGGTGAATTTGTCACTTTAATTTAGTAATTGCACAGTAAATAAATAATTTTAATTACTGTGGATTTTATTATTAATACCAAGGAGTACACCTGAGTTTTCTAGCCAGTGTTTGACACGTAGGAGATTCATCACATGAAATATGACGAAGCTAGCAATTATAAGCTTTTTATGTGTGTGAATTATAAGAATATCTCGTCTATCGGTTTAACGATTTAAATAAAGATCAATTTAATTAAAATAACGGAATAGCGGTCCGTTAGTGTTACGATTATCCTTTATCCGTTAAATTATGGTCTCAATCTGATTTTTTGGTGTGATTCTGCTGTATACCGTTATTTTTCGCGATAGAGATCTCTCCATTTATTCTTCGATTTAAACACTTTAAGAATGAAAATAAAAACCTACAACTCATTCGACTAACAAAGCATACGGATAACAATAAAAAACATCAAACTCGATTCAATTTAAAAGGTAAAATAGAGGAAAATAAAATTTACATTAAGATTATTTTTTTTACAAAAACCCTAACACCTATTACAAAAAAGCCAAGGTGAAGGATTATCATAAGGAACCTCATAAATAAAAATTATTCACCCATCATAACCTACAAATATAAGTTTAAATCATCCGCATAAGCCTTCAAATCTAAGACGTTATCATTTTATTTACAGGTCTTATTTCAAGTCACTTTATAACTTTCCTTTTACAAGAAGGACAAATCTAATACCTCGTCTATTTGTCACCTTCTCCGCAAAAGACTTTATTCGTAGGTCACACTAGGTTGCACCTCCACTGCTAATTTTCAAGAGTTACACATCCATAACAGTTCTTCGAAGCCTCTAGAACTCCTTATCCTTCGGTCAGACATAACCCAATGACGTGATCACTGATAGACCCACGTGATCTACTGACAGTCAAGTCTAATCAACATGTCAACTTATATATAAAAACCATGTCCCTATGATACTAGCACTAAGAGACAATATTTAAGTCATCACACAAGATCAGAAAAGGAAATCCTCTCTCTCTTAGGTTCCCTCTCTAAATCTTTCTCTTGATGACTATTCATCCTCATCTTTAGCCCAATTATTTTTGCCTTCTCCATAAAACTACCAACTGCCGTTTTCTGCTCAAATCAGAGGGGATGAATCATCAACACATGCCATAACCCAAATGTTTTCATCAACCATTATAAAAAAACTTTTCAAATGTAAAAGTTCATCTTATTAGTGACGCGTATGAATGGATTAACGAGATTCTCACTGTCACTGTCTACTATCCAGTGAAACCACAACCAAGGGAATGGGCTTGGCAGAATCAGCGGGGAAAGAAGACCCCTGTTTAGCTTGCTTGACTCTAGTCCGACTTTGTGAAATGACTTGAGAGGTGTAGGATAAGTGGGAGCTCTCGGGTGAAATTGAAATACCACTACTTTTAACATTATTTTACTTATTCCGTGAATCGGAAGCGGGCACAACCCCTCTTTTTGGACCCAAGACCGACTTATGTCGGTCGATTTGGGCGAAGACATTGTCAGGTGGTGAGTTTGGTTGGACTAAACAAGGCTAAAAACTCTTTCATTGGCATCTTAGAACCAAAATTCAAATCTTGATATACACACCCTCTTCCACATAAAAAAACTTAAATAATATTTAGAGTTTAAAATTTGATATTATAAATAAAATAAGTAGAATCGAGGTCCCTATTGATTATACTTAAAATATTTAATTATAATATAAAGATTAAATTCGTCAAAGATGAAAATGTGAGAATCTTCCACAAAATTGGACCAAAAATACAAATTGGGCTAATATCAGTTCGGTTAACGTGCGAATTACTTAAATCTCAAGTGAGCCAAAATAGGGCATAATTAGCTTACCCTATTCCCATATGTAATGGGGTAAGGGGAGGTAGGGTAGTAGGCTATCCCAATGCCAGGTTGAGAGCAGCTTCCGTGGAAGACCTCCATTATGAATTGCCCTCAATGAGACTCGATCCCACGACCACAAGGTTAAGAGCCTTGCGCTCTACCAACTGTCATAAATATATTGACAAAGAAAATATAGTAATTGTCGACAGGTTTTTTTAGCTCAATAGGGAAATGGAAAACTACTTAAAAAATATAGCAAATAGAAGTTTATTTTGAGATATATATGATCTTTTTTTATAGTTTTTATAGAATTCGTTATCTCGATGTGATGGGTTTTAATAAAAAGTATTTTTTTATTAAAACTCAGCATGACGAAGTGATGAGTTCTAATAAAATATATATTTTTATTAATTTTTATCACATTGGAGAAAAAGTTTGAATAAAAATACTTTTTTATTAAAATTCATCACATCGGCGTAACAAGTTCCAAATCACTACACTAAATACCGTAACACCCTAAATAAACCTCTATATACCCCCATTGAGCTAATTTATTAAACTGTTTACCCTATTGGGACAAAAAAAACCATTGTCAACGTTCATATTTCACAACCCCATCCTTTGAATTTGGGAAAGAATGAGGACCATTTTCATAATTTCCCCTTTACTAAAGCACATATTCTAATCTTTAAAAAAAAATAAAATCTCTTTCTTTCCCTCATTTTAGATGTTATAATATTTACTTTAGATTGTTTGAGTATAAATATTTTACTGGAAATATCTTAATCATTCACCATAGTTGATTTTGATTTTAAAATTTGTACCCCAACATTTTAATATATTGTTGCTGATGCATGGCCTGATTATTGTTTGATTTATTAATGATAGGATCCTTTAATTTTAATTTTATAAGCATGATTAAGAAGTTGTCACCAACAACCAGTTGGTCTAGTGGGATGAGGCACTAGGTCCCTTAAGCAATGTTAGGGTTTGAATCCTGATGTTTGCGAATGGAGTAAATTAGGTTGGGAGGGTCGCCCTCGCCTCTGCAGTACCCGATCTGGATTAGTCGGTCAATATGTCGGATACCATGATTAATTCAAAAAAAAGTTGTCATACATTTTTAATTATCATTTAAATAATAAATAAATAAATTAGACATACAATCAATTATTTAATACGTTCAAAAGTTTTAGTTACAAATGAATCTAATTCGATTGATATAATTATCATATAACACAAAATATAAAATCAAATATATTTATATGTTTAATATCTCTCAATTTATGGATAGGAAAATATAGTAATATTTATAGTATCAAATTGTTTAAAATTTAATTTGAAATTATTTTTTTTGGAAAAGATCAATTTGATCAATCAGACCACCCAACTATTTAAATGTTTCAATCAGACCACTAGCCGTTAAAATTTAATGAAGAAGACGACTGTTAGTTAAATGTTTTGGTATAATTACACATTTGATCCCGTTACTTACAGAAAGTATTAATTTGATTATAATTTTAATTAAATTCAATAAATTTTATTATCTAATTAGTTTGTGACACGTGTAAGTCTCTATGATTAAATTTATTTGTAATTTATTTAATTCATTAAATAAATTTTCCTCCAATCAGAGGGCGACACTAATTTAAGATAAAAATAATATATATATATATATATATATATATATATATACCCACGGACGCTGTAAATCATGTAACATCCAATTTCCTAGTCCCATTGTTCAGTCCTCCGGCTTCAAATAAATAAAATTAATATATGTGTCATTGTAGCATTCATCTCATTACAACAAATAATCTCATCAGTATATTATTCGAGCAATTTATTATTTCCAACACAATATTCTAAAATTTAGCCTATTCAACTAGAAACTGACACATGTCATAATCTAATTAGATAATTAAATTTATTGAATTTAATTAAAATTAGAATCAAATTGATAATTTCTGTAAGTAAAGGGACCAAATGCGTAATCATACTAAAACTTTTAACTGTCACATAATCTTCTTTATTAAATTTTAACGATTAGTGATCTGAAATATTTTAATAGTTACGTGGTTCAATTGATCAAATTAAAATGTAAGAACAATAATTTAATAGTCACCCGTATATTATCAAATTGTTTAAAATTTATTAATAAAGAAAATATAATATTTATGGAAAAGATTAATTTGAAATTATT